CCACACCTCAACTCACCACAACTAAATTCACCACACCTCTTAAGACCACCACACCTGAATTCATAACACCGTAACTCCCACACCCAATTCCACCATACTGCAACTCATCACACCCAATTTCAACACATGACATGATATCACTAAAGAAACAATGTAAAGAAAAAGAGGAAGGAAAATTTAACTACCTAACCTAATAACAATGGTGGGGGTAAATACGTAAATGGAGAAAAGAATGAAGATATAGATCAGGATAAAGGAAAAGATAAATATGAAGACGAAGGTGAATATGAAGATGAAGATGAGATGAATTGGATGAAGTATGAAGATGAAGATGAAGATGAAGATGAAGATGTAGATGAAGATGAAGATGAAGATGAAGATGATGAAGATGAAGATGAAGATGAAGATGAAGATGAAGATGAAGATGAAGATGAAGAGGAAGATAAAGATGAGAAGATGAAGATGAAGATGAAGATGAAGATGAAGATGAACGATGAACATGAACATGAAAATGAACATGAACATGAACATGAAAATGAACATGAACATGAACATGAACTTGAACATGAACATAGAATATGAAGGTGTAGATAAACATAAACATAAACATTAAAAGCGATAGAGACAAAGATAGAGAGGAAGAAAGTGGTAGGGATAAAAAGGAAATACAACTGAAGAATGTGCGATGTTATATTGTGATGTGTTATGCTACATATGTTATGTTATTGAATCTAATGCTATTCTATGTTATGTTATGCTAAGTACTAAGCTAAACTCCCCTCCACTTAACTCATTCCAACAAATTTTTCTTTCAGCTCAACTCAACTCACATAAACTATCCTTAATTTTAGCGGTTGAATTTCAACCGCTGGGCGAACACTAGTTGAAATAATTGGACCAAATTTGGTGGAAATCGGTAAGGCGGTTATTGATATATACTTCTGTAGTCATAAGTGGGTGGTGCCAAGTCCATTTAACAAAAATCCATAACCTTGTGTCTTGTTAAAAAATTGTTGCAAATTGGCATCTTTAGTTATTGAAAGATGGGAGTTTCTGAAATTTACCGTTATATGGTAAGTGGCAGTAATTTTAGCCACATTTTAAAAATTTTCAACATATTGCTTTTTTGCGCCAACGTTGCTAAATGTGCCGAGTTTGGTAGAAATTGATAAACAGGGTATCGAGATACACATATGTAGGCGTAAGTGGGCGGTACCCCGCCCACTTTCCAAAAATTTCCCTAGAAATCATTTTCTGCTAATAGGTCATTGCATATATTGATTTTGAGTAAATTGGCATAAATAGTTACTAATTTATCGCAGTTTTCGTATTTCTGTAAATTACCGTTATATGGGAGGTGGGCGTGCTTCGTCTGATTTAAAAAATTTTCAACCAGTTTCTTACTGAGGCCCTAAGCAATGTTCTCACCGAGTTTGGTAGGGATTGGTAAAGGAACTACAGAGATACAGCATTTAATAATGAGTAGGCGGGGCCACGCCCATTTTCCAAAAATTTTATAGCTGTCTTATTTTATGCCAAAATTCTACTTCAAATGCCAACTTTCAAGAATTTGGATCCAGTATTTGCGGAAATATCTTAGTTTTTGCAATCCCAACCTACCTTGGATAAAGGGCAACCTACTTACCAAATTTCGTTGAAATATCTCAATTTTTGCTCGAGTTATCGTGTACACGGACAGACGGAAGGATGGACAGACATGGCCTAATCGATTTCTCTTTTCATCTTATCTCGATTCGTTTTGGGTGTTACAAACAACTGTTATGCGAACAAAATTATAATGCCCTTGTGCACAAGTGCGCTCGGGTATAAAAATGCAAAATGGTATACTGTTTTGTCACTCTACTATTTATGGGCCATTCCATACAATATTTATACCTCAATATTTTTTTTCTATATCACACTGTAATGGAAAGCTGAGGTAATTACGCACATCTTGATTGCTTAAATGATTTTCTCGGACAAATTGTTTATTAAATGCAAAAAAGTGAAAAAAAAAAATTATTTTTGAGTTCGAAATTTCGAATTTTTTTTACGATATTTTCGAATATCGCGACGAAATAAAAAATAGGTGCCTTTTACGTTAAAGAAAGTAAAAAATATTTCACACTAATAATCATATTGTAGTGTAAATACTGTATGGAATCACCCTTTTATTTAGTAGCAGTGCTGTCATTTGCTTATTTTCGAGTGAAGTGTTTCGGAGTGAATGGGAGGAAAAGTGAAGCGATTATCGGAGTGACTATTTTGAAACATAATTATGGCCGTAGGGTTATTCGATTTAATTTTTTTGTATTAGCTGATTAGTCATTCGATTATTCGATTCCAAATATTTATAAGGCGCCTTTTTAATAATATTTTGCGTTACAATTTAACAAGAATTGGTTTCTTACGTTCTTTGGTATGTGGCTAATGGCCAGATGCGCCGGCGCTATTAAACGCAATATCTATCGGCGTAAACCTCTAATACATACCAATGTGCAAAAGCTGATGCTTTGTATAGATGGGTTTTGGAAAACAGGCTTACTTTATACACTCCTAGTTATTTGGAAAGCGCACCCTTTTGGTTCACAGTATGTGCAGTTTTCCTTTTGTTACGAATTACAAAAACATGTCAAAAAGGGGGCGCGCTATCCTAATGACCTGCAGCGAATAAGTTAATAATATTTTTGGAAAAACTTCGGACATGCAGTTGTGTAGCCCATTCAGTCCTAGTACATACAATAAAGTGCAAATTTTAAGTTGCTGTAAAATAGCGTTGATTTTTGAAAATTTGTTTTGATGAGGCTGCTGCGCATTTCCCTCCATATAAAAATTTCGTCGAGGATATCGAGCATCCTAAGTATGGAAGAAATGGACACTGTCAACAAAAAACATTGTAAAAAAACAACGCACCCAGAAAAAGGTTTAGTTATAATTACGGAGATTTGGTTATAGTGGTGAAATAAATATCTATCTGGTGAAAATCTGCAAATTACTTGAGACTTATATTTGGGACAAATGTATATTTGTTAACAATTACAAATCCACTATCTTGATTTGACAATATTGTTAGTGGAATTAAATAATTTTTGAGAAAAAATAAACAGTGCTTTTGTTGATACAAGTTTTCAATTACCTTTGTTTCCTTGTTTTAGACTTGAATCAGCTAATTGTTTATTACTGGAAAAAAGTTTGAGTTTGGCACAAATAAAAATTTACTCGATGGTTGTTTTGTTTACTTTCTTCTTTTGTTTGCATATATTAAACATAAAAAATACATACATATTTACATAAATAGTTACTAGTGTATGTACTACATACATACACTAACCAGAATATGTTTCCGTACAGTGTTTTTTTTTAATATTTGCAATGTTTTTCGTAATACATTTTTTTCGTTAACTTTTAATAGAAATATAGTGCATTCTGCATCAAATGTCATATAAATTAATCATTCAAAGTTTTTACAAAATGTAGGAAAATTCGACAAATTTTTACCAATATTTTCAACTTTAAAAAATTTTTTTTTTTTTTGAATTTTTGTGAGTACGCAGTTTTGTAGTTCACTCAAATGCAGTAAGAAGGTAAAGTATAAGTTTTAAGTAGCTATAAACTACCGCTGATTTTTTAAATTTTTTTTGCTGATGTTGGTCATTTTCTCTATATAACGGATGCGTGATAGTTTCTTTGTATGGGAAAAAATACCGAAGAGCGCCTTTAAAAAAATTCTCAAAAATCAACGGTATATTATAGCCACTTTATTGCACTTTATTATACTGAAATTGAGTGAGCTACAAAACTGCATACTCAAAAAAATTCTAAAAAACTTTGTTTAAAAGTTCAAAATTTTTGTGAAAATTTGTCGAATTTTCCTAAATTTTATAAAAACTTCGAATCATTAATTTATATGCCATTTTATGCAGAATGAACTACATTCCTATTAAAAATTAACGAAAAAAATTCGTT